TCCCACGTATCTTTGTAAATACTGAACGGAATTGAACCATTTTTGGACTGATATTCAGTCGAAAAAACCTCCCTGTAAATGGCCGTAATCAACAAATTGAAAAAATCACTCCCCTAAAAAAGCTCTCCCAGTTTTGATAAGAAGAGTGTTTTAGAAATTAAGGAGAGTGATCTGATATTAAGGAAAGTGATTAGTTTTGTGTATGGGAAATGGTTCTGAAGATCAATAACTGCATGCAAGACATTTATTCCTGCTTTCATAATTGATAATAAAGGAGCGCAATTTTCGACATTCAAGTGCTCAGCGGGCGCTCGTGAGAGATTGGTTGCCTTAAAAACCAATGATTAGATATTCCTATTAAAGATTCCTACATGTATAATCCTACAATGGTGAAACAGGACTTTAAAGATGCTTTCCTGCATACAAACTTTCTGATTAGATGATATATTCGGACTAAAAACATATTAAAACTAATTTATCTATCGAAAGTTTGCTTCACATCCCGTTCAAAACATTTTAACCTTTTCAAAACATTCTAATTGCAAGAAAATGGTTTTAACATCCATTCTACCCAAACTAGTTTATTTCGGGACTAACATATGGTTCAATTTTATTTCAAAAAGCTGCTTGTGCGTAAGGGCTTTTAGCAGTGGGAGGAAACTGGAGGTCCTAGAGAAAACACACGAGGTTGGATAGGTGACCCTACTCCTTGTCACATAAAATCAGGGAATCGAAACCAACCAACCCCCTAGTCTCCATTTTGAGGGTTTCCTCCCACATACATGTACCATACAATGTAACTTAGTTCTGCAATGACCTACACATATTTTGTATCAAGTCGGGGTTAATAAGCATGCTGTGCGCATTAGATCATAAGGTCTGTCAATGAGTCAAATACTGTGATTTCTATTCCCAGGTTGTACATGACAAGAAGTAGGAAAAGCGAATTATCGAACCATATGTTAAGTCTCAAAATGACCTACACATATTTTATGTCAAGTGGAGGTTAAACCTCTGTCTCTCCTCCAGAACAACAAACATGTAAATCAGTTTATCCAAACATAGTAGCCTAATTGTTGAAAGAAGAGGAGCAGATTGATGCAAGTAGTTTTATTATGACAAGATGTGAATATTTCAGTATCTTATCTATCACTGAATCAATGATGTACAGATCATAGACAAACATCTATCTAACATTTCTCACATACATGTCTATAAAACTCATTAATAACAAGATTTCTAAACAGTGGGGTGTCCCTTTAAAGTAAAAGAGACTCCCAACAGATTGGGATAACGAGTGTAGCATCTGGGTGATATAAACGGGATTCTTTGTTATTAAGGTTATATATTTATTGTTGTAGTCACCTGATAGACATTCTTCTGTTTATGTATCACAGTAATTAGACCAATGTTACATTAACCATGCTAACTTTATAGGTCAGTGGCAGTGGCCCCCCAATAATAACTTTTATCATAAAGTTATCTTTAGGGACTAATGACTTTCGGTAAAAGCCTTGCCATTTCTTTCCTTAAACTCATTATCTCTGTATCTAGACTGTTGAATGTTGTATACATGTACATGTATCAGAGAGAGGGAGAGAGAGAGTTTAATATCCACTTAACACAAACCAAGTCATTTTGGGACTAACATACAGTATGCTTCTATTTTAATAAAATTTTATTAAACTTGCTGTTAGTACCGTAATGTGTCAAAAATCCACTCGAGACAAACCAGGTCATTTTGGGACTAACATACAGTATGCTTCAATTTTATTTGAATAAAATTTTATTAAACTTGCTGTTAGTACCGTAATGTGTCAAAATCCACTTGACACAAACCAAGTCATTTTAGGACTAACATACAGTATGCTTCAATTTTATGTTATTAGATTGGCTTTTAGTACATGTACCCTAATGTGTCAAAAATCTGAATATCAATTTTATTAACATTTTTCCAAACACATGTATCTTAAAGTATCTAGGCATCATTTACATTTCTTGGAGGATAACAATCCATTAATTACCGTAAGACAAAACAATCAAAATATTAAAATAAAACCAAGAATATTCAAATTTGAACAAATAGTGGTAATTAATGAATGTGAAACGAGTTGAAATATTGGTGGAACTGATTGGGTTGTCTTTTTATAATTTAAATAATGAAAAGGGTGATTTTGAGGAATATGGTGGAAGTTGGACCTCTTGTCTAATAGGAAAAAATAACAGCCAATAAATGGATCAATTAGTATAATTTACAAAAATACAAGCTCCAACTGGGCAAATGAAGATGGGCATAGTGTGCTATGATGAGGGAAATTTAGACCAGGCAGCGGTAACTACGGCCTACTCTTATATGTAATTCCAACTGCCAAGGGTTCTTTTAGGTGCACGTCAATGTGTAAACGGGAGCTCAGTTTTATGTCACATCTCAACGACTATATGCCGTCCCTTGCCAGGCCCTCTGGCATCTGTCCTGCACCACTGACAAGAGTTACAAAAATATAATCAATAGCTCTGTGTATATTAGGTCTATAAGCTGTGGAAATTATTTTTACATGTTCTGAAATATGCAAAGACTGCATTACTTTTCAAAAGTTCAACGCGGAACTTACGTTGTTAATCAGACTGGAAGTAAGAAAACTTTTACTTTTGGCTTTTCCTTCTTTTTTTTTATTAATTTTATATTTTAAATAGGTTAAATTCTAAGTAATTCTATTAAAACTAAAATAAATATTTCATGAATGAAAATTAACAGCAAAAACATTTTTTATCAAAAAATAATATTTACCTTTGCTGGTCGAACTGCCGTTTGGTCATTAGATTCTGAGGTAGTCACACTTTTGGGTCTGTAACAGGCACCGTCCGGTAAATCATCCGGTCGAAAATGTTCTTTTTTCAACTCGGCCACAAACACTGAGTCGGAACCCGAGTCAGTGCGCTGATATTTTGCAACCGACTCCTTTTGTTCCAGCGGCTCCATGTCATCACTTGTATCCGAATGTTTCTTCTGTTTCAATAAATGCATCGTGTACGGTACTTAGACATGTCTCTAGCAATACGCGTGTTGTAATCAGAACCTTGTTATGATGACAACAACCCGATCTTTGTTTTCACCCCTCGCCATCTTGCAATCAGACACTCAATACTATTACTTCCGGGTTAGCACTTGACCTCTGGATGGCTTCAAGGGGGGGCGTGGTTATTTGTATTTGTATTGACTGACACGAATTTAGTCAGGTCATGACCGGGAAATCTTGAATGATGGCGACAACACTTATGTTTTATCAGATAAATAGAATAGCTTCCACTCACGAACATGTTTAACCATCTGAGATAGACGTAATTATTTATATTCATTGAGCATAAAATTTTAGTGTTATTCTAAGATTAAATATTTCATCAACAAGGCAATTAATTAATTGAAAATCAAGAAATGATTAAGTAAATGGTTTGTAAGTCTAACAGAGATGGGAGAGAGAGAGAGAGAGAAATGGGGTTTAACGTCCACTCGACACAAACTAGATCATTTCGGGACTAACACATGGTTCAATTTTATTTCAATAATTCACTTGCGCGTAGGGGTCTTTAGCAGTGGGAGGAAACCGGAGGACCCGGAGAAAACCCACGAGGTTGGACAGGCGACCCTACTCCTTGTCAACAGAGATGGGAGAAAGAGAGAGAGAGAGAGAGATTGGGTTTAACATCCACTCGAAACAGACTAGGTCATTTCGGGGCTAACATATGGTTTTTAAAATTTTATTTCAACAAATTGCTTGCGTGTAGGGGTCTTTAGCAGTGGTGGGAAACCGAAGGACCGGGAGAAAACCCACAAGGTTGAACAGGTGACCCTGCTCCTTGTCATGTACAACCGGGGATTTGAAACTATGCCAGTTGACTCAATGACAGGCCTTATGATACAGAGTACACTAGTTACTCTAGTAACGTAATAATGTATCGGCTCTGAATAGCCTTCTACTACGTTACTGGGTGGCCTGAATGACAACTAGTTAGTTACTCTAGTAACGTAATAATGTTATTACGTTACTAGAGTAACTAAGAGTACACGTGCTAACCATTCGGCCATCCAACACACCAGAGAGGTGGGATTATAAGTTTAAGTCTAAAAGAGAGCAAGAGAGTGAGTTTTTAGTTAATATGTCTGGAGTTTAATGTCCATCCAATACAAACTAGGTTATTTGGAGACTAACATATTGTTCAATTTTATTTCAATAATTCGCTTACACATAGGGGGTCTTTAGCAGTGGAAGAAAACTGGATGACAGGCGACCCTACTCATCTCCCCCATACAAGCTGGGAATCAAAATCAGACCCCTTCACTTAAATGACAGACCTTATCATCTAAAGCATGAGTTAGACCATTTGGTCACCCCTGTAAGTATTACTCCTCTTATGCTCATTCAGTAATTGCCAGTATAAAGTAGACAAGGGGTTGATTGAAGGGGTGGGTGGGGAGGTTTGTCGGTCCCTATACACAAAGAGGGAAAGAGAGAGAAATTGGGTTTTAACTCCTAATTTATTTGCAGTGAATGGGCTAACGCAAACATACAGTGAACTGTGTCTATGTATAGTAATACCGTATTTGTAGTTGTCGTATCGATTGTAACACCTGTCAGGTGTTATGTCAATAAAACAATCAATGTTAGGTTACTACAACTATATATTTACACATTGTTTTCACGTCACCATTACTCCTCTAGTCTCTTATACTCATTCAGTCATTGCCAATCAGCAGCCCCTAAAGAAAGACAGATTTAGCTCTTGCATAATGTATGTTTAAGGATTGGGGTATCCCTTGCAAATTACAATATCCCTGCGCCCCTGAGGTTCCCCGACACCAGGAACGAAACACGGAAACTCTAGTGAGCCAGCACTCTATTCACTGCGTCAGGACTGAAACCTAGAAACTCCTGTTTAGTGATGAGCCAGCGCTCTATTCACTGCACCACAAAGGCTCCCCCACATAAAAACAAAAACAAAAGTAGGATATATAGCATAAAGATGTTTATTTATATTGATATATATTGTCTGAGTGCTTACCATGGTAACAATATTAACGAAGATGAAATAATAATTAGTAAATTAAAGATGAGTATACACGTGATGATCTACAATCACAACTTTACGCGGCAATTTACAACATGTGACAGCAAAATGAGTCGCAAGTAAAAATATTTTTTTAATGATATAACATGAAAGGTAAAAGTTTAGATTTAGAGAAAGAGAGAAATATGGGATTTAATGTCCACTCGACACAAACAGGTCATTTCGGGATTAACATATGATTCAATTTCATTTAAATAATTCGCTTGCGCGTAGGAGTCTTTAGCAGTGGGAGGAAACCGAAGGACCCAAAGAAAATCCACGAGGTTAGACAAGTGACCCTACTCCTTGTCACATACAACCGGGAAATCGAAACCATGCTAGTTGACTCAATGACAGACCTTATGATACAGCGTGCACATAATAACCATTCAGCCATCCAACCCCCTTTCGATTTAGATAAAGCAAACTATTTTTTTTTCATATTTTTTGCCCATTTCAACATTTTTGTACATATATCGTAAACAATGACTTGCAACTTCAAACTGGTTAAAACACAGATCCTATTTCGTTTCGTTTTTATAGTTCAAAATTTCGATTTTACTTGTCTTTACTACACTTGGATCTGGAAGCGTTGTTATTTAACTCGTGTTCTGCTTGAAATGAGGGGTCAGCCAATCAAATGGTCTGTCGAATCGAGCGTTTTACCTTTTTTGCGCGGAACTATGGGTAGACATTAGCGGCAATAGAAATCAAAACAAAGCAAAAGTAGATAAAAAATACATGGCGGTCGCTAATTGGTTAATCGAATGACTGACGTAATCGGGTCAAATGTCGCTTGCTTGGTACCTGACGTCATAGAACGTGAACTCCCACTATAACTTGTTAGATCTACATGTAGTGTAGGCCATCGAAAGAATAAAAAACGAAACGAAATATAGATCTATATTTTAATTAGATTGTTGCACTTATTTTAATTAGATTCTGACTCATTTTGCGGTCACGGGTCGCCTATATATAAATATAGGTAACGTTGACATGCAGAGAGTGAGGGGGGGGGGGTGGCCTGGGGGTACATTAATTCAAAGATGAAAATAAAGTTTTTTTAAATTTGATTTGAATAAAAAGTTTATTTTATCTGTTTTGACATATTTAAAATGTCTGCCTATCTCACTTTTGTGAGTACTAGGTCCCTTGTTTGTGTTTTGCGGGATATACAATGTACATGTTGACTCCAGACGTCATCAATCTCTGCACGCCACTAACAGGTAAAAACAATTACATAACGATAATATAAAATACAGATGCAGATTCATTATTCTGCTTCCACAAACTTCATACTTATATCATTAACGAAAAATGTGTAAAATATGAAAACTTTTCTATAGTGGGTGAGAGAAAAAGAATGGGTTTAACTCCACTCGACACAACTAGGTTATTTCGGGACTAACATGGTTTGATTGTATTTCAATGATTCACTTGCACGTAGCGGTCTTTAGCAGTTGGAGGAAACAGGACCCTGAGAAAACCCATGAGGTTGGACAGTCGACCCTACTCTTTGTCACGTACAACTGGGGAATCAAACCCACACCAGTTGACTCAATGACAGACCTTATGATACAGCTTGCACTTGCTAACCATTCAGCCACCCAACCCCTGTGAAAGATTAAAATACCAAGTATTTCCCATACACCGGTACATATATAGCCCTCCCATTCTCGTAGGCGGTATCACTTTGATGGAAGCAGACGTTAAATAAAGCCATTTGCCACTCTAAAAAAACCTATTTCTGGTTTTTTTTCTGGTACATTGGCAGTAATATTAGATTTGTATAATTTTTTAACCAGTCTTCTTTTTAGATCGACTAATTTTTTTTTTATTGGTTTTGAAATATACATTCAAGATTTAGTTTCAGAAAATTGGTCAACAATTTTCTTTCAAATATCACTAATGGATTAAGTGTATAACAAAACAAGCATGAAGGTAAATAAAATCATTTTGAGATCCATGGTACATCTGTTATGTACTGGTACTAATAAAGAAATTTTATTGTATATGGACCTAGTCCAGGCCCCAGGTTCACAAAGCATTCTTAGACTTTAAGTTATAAATTTATTCAAAATATATCCTTTATAAAACTTTTGTTGTTTTAACGTATCAAATACATCAATAAGAAACTATGTACAAAGTTTTGTGTTTCTGGATCAAAGAGATTTTTCATAAACAGTGATTGAAAGTTGAGTAAATTCTTAAGTTAAACATACATTATGCAAGAGCTAAATCTGCCTATTGTAGGTCTTTCTTTAGGCCTGAAATGTTATATAAACTATTAATTAGACATTAATTAACTTGTCATCGCTAACCTGTGATATTTACTGGATTAGGATCCGATCTGCTGCTATACGCTCATCCATGATTAAATCATGAATGGATAATCAAGACTATGTTTTTTATCATACCGACTTTAGTAATGATGATTGTGGCTAGATCCAAAATTCAATCGCTAAATTCTCGGTTCAGAGTGGATCAATTTGACTGAAATTTTCAGCAAATTCCCTTTACATTACCTAGTTTTTAACTATTATAGTGAGAACTGCCAGCTCTTTATCTAATCCCCCATAATGTATCTTTAAGTTTGAGAATGATTTGTGAACTCCTCAAGGCCTGTTTGTTATTATCCGTGTTAACTTATAGAATATAGAAAATTACAAACAAATTAATCATATTTACATCCGCATCACAGTTTTCACACAATTACCAGAAGCTTCTTACAAAAACTAGAAGTCAATATACACAATTTCTTAAAGGCTCGATGCGCCATTTGCATTTTCGCAAAAATATCAAATTTCTCACGGTTATATATGTACACAGATTATTCAACATTTAAGCTTAAACATCCACATTATTCCTATAGCACTGAATGACACATCAAGAGAGAGAGAGAGAAATGGGGTTTAACGTCAACTCGACACAAACTAGGTCATTTCGGGACTAACATATGGTTTAATTTTATTTCAATAATTCGCTTGCGCGTAGGGGTCTTTAGCAGTGGGAGGAAACCGGAGGACCCAGAGAAAACCCATGAGGTTGGACAGGCGACCCTACTCCTTGTCACATAAAACCGGGGATTCGAAACCACACCAGTTGACTCAATGACAGACTTAAAAATACAGCGCGCGCACGCTAACCATTCAGCCATCCAACCCCCCGAATGACACATCAAGCCTTTAAGTTTAGCATTTTTGGGATGGGTGATAGGTATACTGTATTAGAACAATTATCATGAAGAGCGCACACAGCTAACATATCAGGGTACCTTTTATCTTCATCGTTTAACGTGAAAAAGTGCAACTTTACATTTGTGCTAATACATGTATGTTTGGATAGTATATTTTTAGCAAAAGCAACACAGATCATCGTTTGTATGTCACTTTTAAAATATTCTAGTTCTCATTAAATACTGCACGTTCATAGTTACCGTATTATAGGGGAGTTAACTCCATATATACATTTCCGACAGATTTGGAAGTTTCAAGTAGACTCCATCATCATGTAGGCCTAGATAACGCTGGTGATTTGTCCTTGACAATCAGAAATAGCAATGGATAACCCCAAATTAAAATGGTGACCACTGACAAAATAAAAATCTCCTACCAACATCAGATGGTCTGAGATCCAGGATATAGTATTTTTTGTATGGCTTACAACCACTAAGATTATGAAACATCCATTGAAAATAATGAGAACTGCACAGACCACCGTCAACAGATTATGACACAACCATTGATTATGATTATGTTTTAAATTATGATTATGACACAACCATTATCTAAGATTATGAAACAGCCAATCAAAAGTCTCTATAACCATTGCTTCGGATTATGATTATGTCACAACCATTGCTTCAGATTATGATTATGTCACAACCATTGCTTCAGATTATGATTATGACACAACCATTGATTCAGATTATGAAACAACCAATCAACAGTCTTTATAACCATTGCTTTAGATTATGACACATCCAATCAAATTTCGTGGTCCATGATACACCATATGCATTTCGGAATTGAGTGATGAAATATTTGATGGCTGCCTCCTCATCTTTTTCAACGGCTAATGTTTTTCTCACGTAACCTATATCATCCAATGATTGAAGTTCTGGTATACCACATGACAACATGAGCGTAAACAAGGTAATTATCAAGTGAGAATGTTTCCGCAGTATTATGTAAGCAGATACACATAATTCTTGAAACCTGGAAAATAATTAGACAAATATTTAAATTAACAGAAATATATAAACATCGGGGACTGCAGTGAAACAGATATAGCGTTTAAAGTCCATTTGACACAAACTAGGTCATTTCGGAACTTGGTTTGATAAAGACGGGAGAACCCTCGTCGAAACGTCGCTGAAATAAATCCTACAAGTAACTTGTATTCGGTATAATTGTGTCATGTGTTATTTTCATCCAGTTACTAAATGCCACTTAAACAATTTAACAAATGTTTCAATCTTATTTCAATAATTCGCTTTCCCGTACTTGTCTTTAGCAGTTGGAGGGAAACTGGTTGGACAGACGGCGACCCTACCCCTTGTCATGTACAAACAGGGAACGAAACCACATCACTTGACTTAATGACAGATCTTATGATCTAAAGTCTTCTAATATCTCTGTAAAGATGATTGCCTTCAACCCATGACGTCATATCATGCAGCGTCAATCATTGGCTCATTGGCGCGTGCAATGTTTACATAAAACGTTACTGATTCAAGCAGAATGGCGGTTTTTACTCATTTTAATACCCATTTAAACTAAAATAGGAAATAATTTTTACCTACAATACTTCAAATGTCTTTATTTATTTTTCTAATACATAAACAAAATGTTTTAGAATTTAATTTGTCGGAGGAAAAAAGTTAATATTTGTGGCTCATTAAGTCGCATCGATGTCATCCTTATCAGTGATTGTCGCGGCGAAGCGAATATTCACTGCTGATCAGTGTGCATCCAACCATCCTCCCCAACAGACCTCAGTAAAATAAGACATAAGGATATAACACATTATTTCAAGTCCTATATCATATATGGAGCTACAATGAGGTAGGTAATATGTGAGTAAGACGCTGGCTCACTAACCAGGCCTTTGGTTCGCTCCCAACATTGGCCGAGAAAGTCTGCGTCAGTGGTGCAGGATAGGGCCTGGGCAAGGACAGTGTTTAGATGTACAGATGGTATGGAAAGCTGAAATTCCGTATACACATTGTCGTACACGTAATAGAACCCTTGACAGTTGGAATTCGAAATACGAGTAAGCTGTAGCGTCGCTGTTGAGTAAAAAACTTCACCCAATTTCAATTCATACTTATATCAAGTGGGAGCCACGGTGGCTAAGTGGGAAGAAGCTGGCTCGATAGCCTGGAGGTCAAGTGTTCGATCTCAGCATTGGCCGATAAAGTTCATCGTGATCTTCTGACGTGGTTTCCCCCTTGTCAGTGGTGCAGGACGGAGGGCGTGCATGTAAAAGATCCCTTGACAGGTGGATTTTGATATAAGAATAGGCCATAGTGCTGCTGCCCGGGAAAAATTTCCCTCATAACACACTGTATGGCGTATGCACGTCACCATTAGCCCAGTCGAAGTAGAGAGAGAGAGAGAAATGGGGTTTAAAGTACACTCGACACAAACTAGGTCACTTCGGGACTAACATATGGTTTAATTTTATTTCAATAATTCGCTTGAGCGTAGGGGTCTTTAGCAGTGGGAGGAAACCGGAGGACCCGGAGAAAAGCCACGAGGCTGGACAGGCCAGTAGAAGCAGAACAGTAGGACATTAAACCTCATTTCATTTCATTTCTTATATCAAATATTTCTACTTACTTCACATATTCCTTTTGTTTAGCTGGTTGGTCAACACCTTTAGATATAACTCTTATAAAATCTTCTGTTAATACAAATGGTACCCTTTCTCTGTTGATCCCAAATTTCTTTTTCTTATGGTCTAAAAAGTGGCCGAAGTCTATATGGAATACCTGAATAAAAACATTAAAATGTGAAGAAAAAAAAGTTTTATTTAGTATGTGATGACAACACATTTTAAACATCAACAATTATCAAAAATAAACAAATTACTATGGAAAATTATTCAAGTTATGTGGTCTAAGGGGAGATAATATGACTTAAAGGTGGAGGCAGACCACCATTTAATTTCATCATCTCGGCACCCACGAATTGTAGTTCGTCTATTTATAGCAATTCTCTCTCTCTCTCTTTTCTCCCCTTTTGCATGCCCATTTGTGTTGATTTTTTGGTCTCGAATGGACGAAGAGGGTTTGAATTAACATTTTCTGCCAGGTTTTGGTAAATATTCATGATTTTGAGGCGGAAGGATAAGAGGGTTATCAGGTTAGCTACGGCGATATGTACGGCAACTAGTTACATGTTTTTAGTATGCTTCTTCAAGTTTGTGTATCTCAAAATTTTGGTGGTCAACCTCATACAAATTTTAGTGCAAAGACATGACCATTTGTTCCTCTGTCTGTAGTGAAAAGCATTCAGCCCAACGAAAATTTGGGGAAAAGTTGGAGGTGGGCAAAGAGGCCAGAATTAACATTGAAGTCAATGGGGAAATTAATGGTGGTCTGCCTCCAGGTGCAGTGCACATAGTTACCTCCCTTGTACACATTTGACAATATTTCTTATTTTCCACATATTTCTGTCCTACTTCAGTCATAATTACATCAACTTTATTTCTTAAATTATCTTTTAATTATATAATTATATAATGCACAGGTTTTGAATTTCTAGTCAACAAAGAAAGCAGTTGATATTGGTGATAATCTTTATAGTTTGTGACAATGTATTAGTCAGGGACAGCTAGCAACCTATTTCCACAAGTTATTTCGAAATAAAACCAGGAAACGTATTCATACATTTTGGTTGCAATTGGCTAAATGTTTAGCATTTAGATGTTGATGATGATGATGATGATAACAAAACAGATGGGCATACAATTTGCATAAAGCTAAAAATAGAACTGTATCTTTGCCTACCTGTCCAGATTCCGTGACCATTATATTTTCTGGATGTCTGTCACCGATACCCAAGACGAACGTAGCCACACAATATCCAGCACATGATCGTGTAAATGTGTCTATAGCTTGATCATATCTAAAAATAGACAAGTAAACAAATGAAATAGGGTTTAACATCCTACTTTTCTGAACTGACTGGGAACCTCGTATAAACAGGATCTCATTTTTTTTCGTCTCATCTGAACAACTGAACAGTTGTCCTTGTCAGGCCCTCCGTCCTGTATCACTGACAAGGGGAAACCACGCCGGAAAATCCCGATGAACTTTCTTGGCCAATGCAGGGATCGAACACGCAACCTCCAGGCTAGCGAGCCAGCGTCTTGCCCACTTAGCCAGTAGATGGGTGTACGACAGTTCTCCCTCCAATCACGTTGTTTATAGGTATGTATGATTATTCAGTTTCATTTACGTTTTCAGTAACATTTACCAGGGTTGCCAACGTCACATTTTTGAAAATATTCAAATTTGTCATCGAGTTTACTTTCTGTAACAGGGGTAAAATATTTACGTGCAATAATTAAACAGGGTTATGCAACCCTTTTAAAGAGACGCAGGATTAACTAAGAAACAGATAATATTCTTAATATGACCTTATAGGTGACCTTTAATATGAAATTCATCAAAAATGGAGAGAAATATATAATAGTAAGTGTCGGAGGACCCAAACTACACGAAAACCCTAAAAACAAACCTGAAGACAAGACACAACCTAATCAAGCGAATAGACCTGGATGTCAATCATAAGTGTCACTGTGCTGAAGAGTCGCGGGCATTGAAAATATTTGAATATTGTCAAATTTCTACCTGTCGGAATTTTTTTCTTTTATCCAGCGATGAAGTTGTGATGAATCCATCTGAATAGCAGCCCGAGCCCCACCACGTGATTGTATAGATGTTATAGTTTTTGCATTACGGACAACCTCTATTAACCCCACGTCTTTACCAGTCGACATACAACCATACGGTATCATTCTGTAATTATAACAAAAAGAAATGAAACGAAATTAAATGGGGTTTAACGTCCTACTGTTCTGCTCCGACTGGGCTAATGAAGATGGGCATATGCCATACAAGGTGCTATAAGGGAAATTTTGTCTGGGCAGTGGCACTATGGCCTACTCTTATATAGAATTCCAACTGCCAAGGGATCTTTGACCTCAGGTGTTTTTTTTTTTGTCCCATACAAATGACTATATCGAGTTTCAATTGCCAAGCCTCAAATTTATCATGAAAATAACCCAATAATAAAGAAATGAATCCTCAAATTTATCATGAAAATAACCCCCCAAAAAAGCAACGAACCCTCAAATTTATCATAAAAATAACCCAAAAATAAAGCAAAAAACCCTCAACATTGATCATGAAAATAAAGGAAATTAGGTTCAAAGGTTTTCACTGAATTCTACTACCACTACTTCTTTTTCATCCCGCACCGAGAGAAGTTAAAGTACGTATCCATGACAATCTTATTTCGGAAAAAAAGCCTGACATTTATCATGAAAACCACACTGGAAAATCATGGCTGAACTTTCGGGGACAATACTAAGATCGAACCATTACATCCTGGTTAGTGAGTCAGCACTTCTACTCACTGAGACAGCGCATTTACTCACCAAGTCACTGCGACTACCTTGTTACGTGAGAGAGAGAGAGAGAGAAATGGGGTTTAACGTCCACTCGACACAAACAAGGTCATTTCGGGACTAACATTTGGTTCAATTTTATTTCAATAATTTGCTTGCGTGTAGGGCTCTTTAGCAGTGGGAGGAAACCGGAGGACCCTGAGAAAACCCACGAGGTTGGACAGACGATCCTACTCCTTGTCACGTACAACCGGGGAATCGAAACCCCGCCAGTTGACTCAAAGGCAGACCGTATGATACAGTGCGTGCGTGCTAACCATTCGGCCATCCAAACCCCCACCTTGTTAGGTATGTATTATTGATAATTCCTACCTGAGATCTAATCCTTCACCTTTCCATATTGAATCCATCAATTTAATAACTTGTAACGTTAACATATCCTGTCGTAAATCTGTTCATAGAATTAAACAAAATAATACTTGGACAAATGAAATGGGGTTTAACATCCTACTTTTCTGCCCCAATTGGGCTAATGAAGACAGGCATACGCCATACAGTATGCTATGAGGGAAATTTTTGCACGGACAGCCATTGCCTACTCTTATATTGAATTCCATTCCAACTGTTAAGGGTTCTTTTACATGCATGCCAAAAGGTACACAGGACCTTGAGATTACATGTATCTACTGTTTACAGAGGATGACGAAAGTTAACAAATGTTTTCAAAAATTTATAATTCATCATATCTCTGTGAATACAAAAACTAGGTCATTTCAGGACTAACACATGGTTCAATTTTATTTCAATAATTCACTTGCACGTAAGGGTCTTTAGCAGTGGGAGGAAACCGGGAGACCCGGAGAAAACCCACGAGGTTGGACAGACGACCCTACTCCTTGTCATGTACAACCGGGGAATCGAAACCATGCCACTTGACTCAATAACTGACCTTATGATACAACGCACATGTGCTAACCATTCGGCCATCCAACCCCCCATACAAAAGTGAAGACTCATCATTTAAAATTTACTTTCTTACCATCTCCATTCTTAAATATAATCTGGAAATCAGGATCGGCTATATCAGCCATTGGATCAGGATTGTTCCACACTAACCATAAGGGACGTTTCTTGGACGGCATTACTTTACAAAAATCTTTCCTGAAAAATATTTATGGATTTTTTAATAAAAGATGAATTATGTAAGATTTACATTAAGAGCTGACAACTCTTGCGATACTAGTTTGAAGTAGATAATGGAAAAGGAATATATTGATAATTACAGTCAAAGTACTTATCAGTGTTTGTAGTTCTGATAAGAATAGCATAGTCACGATTTTCATTGCTACCGTTTTTACGATAATAAAAAAAGTCTCAATTTTCCTTTTTTAAATTAAATTATTAAATGATGATCATGCTTCAATCCATTGAAAATCACGACCATCCGATCGACAGGGCTTGTCACAAGCAAATTGGAGGCGAGTAGATGACTACTCACGCAATTGTAGACTTGCGCGAGTGAGGCGAGTACATGTATTTACTCACGCAGAATGATGTGCGTGAGTAGCCATTTAAATTCCATGTGCCTAATGGCAATGCTCTTGTCACTTCGGTGGAAGCGGACGTTGAATAAAGCTATTTCACACACAAAGGCAATGCATACTCTTTTATTTCCTTGGCAGTAATATTATCTGTAAATCGTCTTCCCATGACAATAACGTTGCAAGGGAAACTGGGTTTCCTTTTGCCATCGTTGGCGTGCTGAGGGGATTCGGGTAAAGCTTAGAAAGGTAAAAGAACAGGCAAAACAATTTCAATCCCATCAATTTGTAGAAAAGATGCGGGATCGAAAGAATTGCTATTAATAGAAACGACAACATCCGCTCAATGTTTGATTATCCAGACACGGCAAAGGACATCCGCTTAAAAACCGCCTGGCAGTACGCGTCTCAAAGTATTTTTAGTAACAACAGTTGGAACTGGAAAAACACGCCGCGTGCGCAATAGTGCATCAATATGAAGGCATACAAATTGTTTACGGCTTTTTATATTACGATATTCAATTATTTCTGATTAAATTATTTTTTATATTTGCGCGAGTACTTAATCACTCACGTAAATTTGGTTTTACGCAAGCGAGTAATTACTCGCGTCTCGTGGCAAGCCCTGGATCGATGCTGTAGAGAGTTGATTATGGTCTTGTCATGTTAATAAATGTCTAATTAATAGTTTACATAACATTTGAAGCCAAAAGAAAGGTCTGCATTAGACAGATTTAGATCTTATGCGATGTATCTTTAAAAAAAAAAAAAACCTATTTGTGTGAATTGTAGGAAAATATCACTCGATATATGACCACAATGGTGAATAGAATGACTTACTTGATATCACCCAATATATGACCACAACATAATGGTGAATTAACACGATGTAGAGCTTCCTGATAATCAGGTTGTTGTAACTGTTCATGTAAACGTTTCATTTGATCATCCTGAAATATATTCATTTCATAATAAATATCTGAACGTATTGAAACAATCTGATAAATCGGAAATACATTCATTTCAAAATTAAAAAAAACAAATCAATTTGATACCAAATAAGTTAATACAATTTAGATAAATAAAAATGAAATGAGGTTTAACGTCCTACTGTTCTGCTCCAACTGGGCTAATGAAGACGCGCACATGCCATACAGTATGCTATGAGGGAAGTTTTGCCTGGACAGTGCACTATGGCCTACATTTATGTGCAAGCCAATGTGTACATGGGAGCCCGTTTTTTTTCATCCTATCCGCACGACTATACACTGTCCCTTGCCAGGCCCTCTGTCATGCACCATTAACAAGGTGGAATCCCCCCAGAAAATTTACAATGAAGTTTCTCGGCCAACACTGGGATCAAACAGATGAACACGGGACCTCCAGGTTAGCGAGCGAACATCCTACTCACTGAGCTACCGTGACTTACTGAATTAAAGTGAAGTCAAATATCAAGAGAGAAAGAAAGAAATGGGGTTTAACGTCCACTCGACACAAACTAGGTCATTTTGAGACTAACACATGGTTCTATTTTATTTCAATAATTCGCTTGTGCGCAGGGGTCTTTAGTAGTGAGAGGTAATTACTACATTAAAGGACCCGTCTTCATTATCTGATTTATGGATATTGAAATTTAAACCACCGAGGGATCCTTGACCACAAGATTATATTGTGCATTGTTGGTTCAACTACTACTGTATTTCTACTACACAATTTGTAAATTCTCATTTGGGCTTGATAACACTAAGAAAATATTTATATTGTTTTCCATATAAATTGTATTGTGTTCATTTGTTGTCCTACTTGTACTATAAGTTTGTCCAACCTATACAAGTATACTGCCCTACCTGTAGAATTTTATTGTGTTACCTGTTCAAGTTTGTCACGTACAACCGGGGAATTAAAACCACATCCAGATGACTCAGTGACAGACCTTATGATACAGTGTGTACGCACTAACCATTCGGCCATCCAACCCCCACCCCCCTTCAAATATTAAGATAAATCCAATAAATATAACCAAGTGACTCACATCTTTTACTTCTGATTTCAACATATCGGTAAGTTTGGTGAGTTTATCTAGGGATTCCACCTGTTTTATCAGCACTTTAAGATGAGAACCACAACCTCGACTATAAGCTTCTAATATTAAACCAAATCGGAGTCGGATAGATGTCTGGTGCATTTCAGATCTGGAAAGAAAACAAATATGTATAAACTCAATCTGATTAAAATACCGATCTATATTTATGGGGATTAAAGTCCACTCTACAAAAACTAGGTCATTTTCCGACTATCAGATGGTTCAATTTTATTTTAATAATTCGCTTGGGCATTGGGGGTTTTAGCAGTGGGAGAAAACCAGAGGACCAGGAGAAAAATCACTTTCTTCAATAACAGACATTACGATCTAAAGCGCAAGCTTTCAACTAATCGGCCCTCCGCTCCCCCCCCCCCCCATCCTCTGATATTAAAGAATTGTGTACTTACTTTAAATGCCAGAAAAAGAAGTTACCAATTCTTTGATTAAGGAGAGCTCTTTTCAACAAGAAAGATGTTAATGGATTCTCTAGATATGGTTCATATTTTAAAGCCTGAAATAAACAAATTGTTGAACTCTTTAAATATATAGAAGACACAATAGATGAACGGCAACAAACCATTAAAAATAGTAACAGAGTAGACATTAATAGATATCTAAGGGGAGAGAGGCCACTCGAAATTTTTTTTTTTAAATTTTAAAAATTATCACCCAACAGCAGTACAAAAACAAACTTAGGTTGCAATGAAAGGTGGTTTCACTGTAATCTAGGTATCATTTAATCTTGTGTATTTAACACTAACTTCTTTCACATTCATTTAATATCAAATCTTTGTTTAAAAATTTTAAAAATTCAATAATCTTGTATCTGTAATTACTACATTAAAGGACCCGTCTTCATTATCTGATTTATGGATATTGAAATTTAAACCACCGAGGGATCCTTGACCACAAGGTTATATTGTGCATTGTTGGTTCAACTACTACTGTATTTCTACTACACAATTTGTAAATTCTCATTTGGGCTTGATAACACTAAGAAAATATTTATATTGTTTTCCATATAAATTGTGTTGTGTTCATTTGTTGCCCTACTTGTACTATAAGTTTGTCCAACCTATACAAGTATACTGCCCTACCTGTAGAATTTTATTGTGTTACCTGTTCAAGTTGTTGATCTACCTGTACAATTTTTTTTTTTACCAGTACAAATTTATTGATATACCTGTACATGTTCGTTGTCCTACCTGTACTTATTTATTGATCTACCTGTACAAGGTTGTGGCCCTACCTGCACAAGTTTGTTGATCTACCTGTACAAGTTTGTTGATTTACCTGTACAAGTTTATTGTGTTACCTGTACATTTATAAGCACTCAAAGATTTTATTTAGTTGTCTTACCTGTACAAGTTGTAATAAATATTGTGATAATTTATAATCTGTCATTCCTTTATCTAAACAAGACACAGCAAATTCTCGAACTTTGAGATCAGAGAAGGAGCAATCTAATAATTCTAAACCAACTTCAGGTTCAACAACTGGCCATCTATCTATCAACAGATATAGCTGGAATAAAAATTGTCAAAACCATTAGGTTTACTTAAATCCGAGAAATTTCTAATTAGCAAATCCACAGGTGATATAATAGGTTGATAAGTGTACAAAGTTTTATAAAGTTATCTTAAATAGATTTGGGATATGTCCCGGAAACTATTATGAGAGGGACAGAAATAGTGTTTAACGTCCACTCAACACAAAGTAGGTCACTTCGGGACTAAAACATGGTTCAATTTTATTTCAATAATTCCCTGTCGCATAGGGGTCTTTAGTAGTGGGAGGAAACCCAAGGATCCAGAAAAACCCCACAAGATTGGAGAGGCGATCCTACTCCTTGTGACGCACAACCGTGGAATCGAAACCACACCAGTTGACTCAATGACATACCTTATGATACAACGTGCACACGTTAACCATTCGGCCATCCAACCCCTCGAAACCATTAAGTACACTTAAGGCAAAGGTTAAATCCTATGCATTCACAAGGTTACATAAATATATCTTGAATAGTCTAAGAGATGTGCTTACTTCAAGAAATAGATATTTTAAGGTATAAAAAGAAAGGAATCCGTCATCAACCTCCTGCGTCCTTGTATACAAAACAAGTCAAATTTGTTTCCATGTAAACACAAAAATTATCAAATTCAAGAAATTTCTAATTAGCACAAGGCATAAATAGATGTGTGTACAAAGATGCGTTGCAGGGTTTATAATATAATCTTGAATTAAAACAAGGATGGTTGGACGAATGGAACCCATTTCAATATTGCTCCCTTCTATTATACATCACAAGATGTATTCGAATCCACTACTATTGTAGGCCAACGATGGCATCGAAAGTTGATTATGAAGTGGATATGTTAATTAATGTCTAATTAATAATTTAGACAGCATTCCAGGCCTAAGGAAAGACGTGCAATAGGCAGATTTAGCTCTTACATAATGTATGTTTAAGATTCAATATTCACAATATTTAAATAATGACTAGCAACTTTAATTTAACAAACAAAAAAAGGTTCCGACTAACCTGTGCAACGTCTTTTCTCTCTTGCCACTTTACAGATAACAATAATTTAGGTAGGGAATTTGGTCGTGTTAAACAATTCTCTCTGAAAGATAAAATTTCAATAATCTTGTATTTTATAATTAAAGCATTGCCTCTTCATTAGTCCAGTAGGTGCAGAATAGTAGGACATTAAACCTTATTTAATTTCACATTAAAGGGCATAAATGAAATGCTCTGACTGGGCTAATGAAGACGGGAAGGTCATAAAGCTCTAACTCAATATCATCCACATTACAAACACTGATTATTGGCCCTGATGTGGCCTCCTGATATTTAAGAGAGAGAGAGAGAGAGAGAGAGAGAGAGAAATGGGGTTTAACGTCCACTCGACACAAACTAGGTCATTTCAAGACTAATATATGGTTCAATTTTATTTCAATAATTTGCTTGACCGTTGGTTTCTTTAGCAGTGGGAGAAAAACGGAGGACACAGAGAAACCCACAAGGATGGACAGGTGACCCTACTCCTTGTCACGTAAAACTGGGGAAACGAAACCATGCCAGTTGACTCAATGACAGACCATATGATACAATGCGCACGCGCTAACCATTCAGCCATCTTACCCCTTGCAATATATGGGATTAATGGATTATCCCTTAATTAGATCCAACTAGGCCTAGGGGTTAACAAGATAAAATATTTACCTTCTCTTCCATAAAATATCTTTATCTTGTTCTAATATATCTGATAACGGATCACGAGATATTATTTCATCTAATAAATTTAACTCCCTCTCTTCCTTTTCCTTCGACTCAGTCTGTCAAAATAAAAAAATATTATTATCATTATTGTACATTTTTACAGCACGCAACTTCCACTACTAAGTTCTAATGTGAGCTTAACAAAATATGGTACAGAAATTAAATATACAAACAAAATAAATAAACCAAAATACAAACAAGACAGTCTTGAAAACATCATTGCATAAACTATCATTAGTATACAAAACTATAACACAAACTTATGGAAAACAGCTACTGGTTTATTTAGGTAACGTTTTCTAAGTGTGTTAGGGGGGTTGGATGGCTGAATGGTTAGCGTGCGCGCGCTGTATCATAAAGTCTGTCATTGAGTCGACTGGTGTGGTTTCGAATCCCCGGTTGTACGTGACAAGGAGTAGGGTCGCCTGTCCAACCTCGTGGGTTTTCTCCGGGTCCTCCGGTTTCCTCCCACTGCTAAAGACCCCTACGCGCAAGCGAATTATTGAAATAAAATTAAAAACCATATGTTAGTCCCGAAATGACCTAGTTTGTGTCGAGTGGACGTTAAACCCCACTTCTCTCTCTCTCTCTCTCTAAGTGTGTTTCCATAAGTATGTGTTATAGTTTATTTATCTACCCAGGTACTAAAAGAATATTATCATTACTATGCATACAATCTGATTAAAAAATAGATCCTATTTCGGTTTGTTTTTTATAATTCAAAATTTTGTTTTACTCGTCTTTTCTATATGTCACTGTAACCAGGGTATCATTTAATCTTGTGTATCAAGCACTAATTTCTTTCACATTCGTTTAATATCAAATCTTTGTTTAAAAATTCATAAAAATTATTTAAAATCACCAAAAAATCATCTAATTTGTACTTGGTGTCCAGTTTAAAGCTGGCTGATTAATTTTGATAATGAGTGTCCAATTTAGAAGTGTTTAAAATTTCCTGACCACTGTTCAAAAATTAATCATTTTAACAGTGATTGAGGAATTAAATGCTTGTAAATTGGACACTCATTATCAAAATTGAATGGTCAGCTTTAAACTGGACATGATTACGAATCAGATAATTTTTGGTGATTTTAAACTAAGATTTGATATTGAATGAAGGGGAAAGAAATTAGTGCTTGATACACAAGATTAAACAAAGATTTGATATTAAACAAATGTGAAAGAAATAGTGCTAGATACACAAGATTTGATATTGAATGAATATGAAAGAAATTAGTGCTAAATACACAAGATTAAATCCCAATTATTGATCAAATAAAATAAAAGTTTCTTACCAAAGATAATTGGTCATGATAATGTTGGTTTTCTTTAGCTAAAGCTATATGACCTATTTGTTGGAGTAATGAGTCAGGAGGATAGGCGACTGGATGAGCAAATCTATCAAACTCTATTTCTAAACATGGACAATCTTTATCTGGATTAGAGCCTGGATAGAATTAAAACAAATCAGAAAAAATTACTATGATTAAAATCAGACACAGAGAGAGAGAGAGAGAGAGAGAGAGAGAGAGTACAAGTAAAATTAGATAAGATAATGTCAAATTTCAGAAAATATTGTTCTCACCTGGCAAACCGATAGGGTTCAATAAGTCATCCATTCCTTGAGGCATCGGCCACAAATGAAGGCTGACTTTTTCTGATGACAACCGACTGTTGAAATCAAACATCTGTAAATTACCCCACGCCAGAGCATAGTGGACCTAGAATAGATATATATGTAAATTACCCCACACACTAGAGCATAGTGGACCTAATATATGAATATATGTAAATCATCCCAAGCGCTAGAGCATAGTGGACCTACAATAGATATATATGTAAATTACCCCACACTAGAGCAAACTGGACTAAACTACTGTTCCTTCTAGCACTGCGACTTATTTTGAGTTTCAATGTCTATTTGTGAATTCAATGAGTAGGTTTCTTCTTCTGAAATGCTCGTAAAACTCTTTTCTGCCAGTCAATTTTTAAAGATTTTCTGGAAGCGGGTCTCCATATTCCTGTGACTTTGGGGTCGCTCAAAATAAGTTGTGGGAACCCCTGCGCTAGCACATCAAACCACCTCAGTCAGATGAACATCTATGAGCTATCTCTAAGGACCATATACTCATACTGTGACATTTGGGCGACATTCCAAAGAGTATTCTCTCAAAATTTTCAAATAATAATTATAAGTACTACCATTTTATTTTGGGTGTTGCGTGGTTGAATAGTTCGATGTATGTGCTTTAGATCATTAGATCTGTCATTGAGTCAAGTAGCATTGTTTCGAGTCCCTGTTTGTACTGACAAGGAGTTGGATTGCCTGTCCAACCTCGTCCTCAGGTTCCCTCCCATTGCAAAATAAAGGTTCACAACGTAATGAAATTCAACGATAGGTTAGTTCTGAATCTCTCCCAATAAAACCTAGTTTGTATTGCATTGGCATTTAACTCACTCTGTCTCTACCTCACCTTTTTATTTCTTCTTTTTGCCAGAGATACTGAACATATAGATAAACAGAGTCTAGCACTACGGGGTATATCTGGTATAAGTAGAAACTCTAACCACTGATCCCATCTAGGATTTGTAGAATCTTCTTGGTGTGTATTTTTGGCTGCACACAATGGTTCTGTACCATGATAAATCCCAGCTTTAACATATATCTATAACAATACATGATAATCTCAATATATAGTCAATGAAATGAAGTTAAAGTGAATCTCTTCTGCTCTATCCAGGCTAATGAAAGGAAATTATGCCTAGAGAGAAGCAGATCTTTAGTCGGATCTTAAAACAATAGCAACTGTCTAGGGGTCATTAGCGTGCAAAAAAACATGTACAAGGGACCTAGGTTTTCCGACCCTTCCGAACAACTAGATGAATGCCAATGTGTATATGGGACCTAATTTTTTTTTACCCATCTGAACGACTAGACAGCTGTCTTTGTTGGACCTTCCGTCCTGCACCAATGACAAGGAGAAACCATGTCGGAAAGAATTCTTTTAACCCATTTTTTGACCACTGCGAATCAGTTCGCACCCGAAATTTGGCAGTAGCGAATCAAATCGCGGACCCATCATACCTTGCAACGGCATTAGCGAAAAAAAGTGCCAGATCAATCAACTGATTTCTATTGTTTTTATTTCTTAAATTAATGGTGATTGAGTAATAAAAATAAAACACCCAATGAAAAGGAATGTTATATTCGCTAATTATCAAATAAAAAGCATACATTTCAATAAAGGATCTTCGGGTATTGACTTTGGCATTATTCCATTATTTTCATGTTGTCCCTTACGGCTGATAATTTTATGATATGGAGATGCTTTCAGACAGACGATACCACAAAACTTACGGCTAATAATTCTAGACTTTGGAACGCTAAATTGAATCAAAACTTTTAGGATTTAATACAAGCTACATAGAGGAATATTACATTGTCAAAGATTTCAACTATATATTTTTATTTTCGACGCAATGAAGCAAAGAATATGACGATTGCCGTCATATATCGAAAGGCAGAAATGTCAAATTCCGATAGGGATGAAGTGACTGTCATTTGGGCGTTATTTCTTTTTAAAAGTTATATTTACTTTGAACACTGCTGCCAACGTGAGGGATTATATTTGTGTTCTTTATAAAAAAAAAAAAAAAAATTCTTAGGGGATACTTGTTCACGTTATTTTACCATTATGACAGAGAAAAGTCTTAATTTTAGTAATATAATTGTTACTTTGTACAATTGAATTTTATATCATTGGAAAAAACACAACAATCTGTACATTTTTGTAGCAGAGTATTTCTATGTATAGAAAATATTTTTTTAGTTATTCACAATTTTGTACAGGGTATTAGGATTAACAATAATCCACTAATTGGCTTAGGGAGATGGGCCCTGCTGATTTAATGAGCTTAGGGGTAGGGTAGCTAATCTTTTATTAGGCTCTAGGATTAAATGGGTTAAGAAGCATACACAATTACAGTGATATAAAATAGAACATGGACAATTTTGGGGAGGCGGTTTTTAGCCGTAAGTTGTTCAACGAGAAGCTCTCGTTGATAGACTCCATAGAACGGCTTAAAAAACAATGGCCGAGTTTATTGTCTCCTTGATATAGATTCAGTCACTCAATGGCACTCGAGCTCGTTAAAATGCCTTAAAAAAACAATAGCTGAGTTTATCATTTCCTTGACATATTCGAGCACTCAATGACACTTGAGCTCGGTAGATTGCCTTAAAAAACAATGGCTGAGTTTAATTGTTTCCATAGTATTACCTTTCCAAATTCCTTGACATTAACGTAAGAGGCACAGGATATTTTGATCCTTAAATGTGTTTTGATGTCACTCGTATAAACGATCTGTTGGTTATTTATCTCAGCTAACGCTTGGATTCCTAAAAATATAATAAAATCTTAATCAAAATTCATAGGTGTTATCAATCTCGGCTAAAGCTTGGATTCCTAAAAATATAATAAAATCTTAATCAAAATTCATAGGTGTTATCAATCTCGGCTAAAGCTTGGATTCCTAAAAATATGATAAAATCTTAAAGATACATTATGGGAGATAAGATAAAGAGATGGCAGTTTTTGCTATAATAGTTAAAAACTAGAAACTGTAAAGGTAATTTGCTGAAAATTTCAGTCAAATTGATCCACTATGAGCCGAGAAAGAAGCGGGTGAAATTTTTGCACAGTCTCAGTCATCATTACTAAAATCATTAATATAAACAGCATAGTCTCGATTATCCACTTTTTCTGATTTAATTATCAACGGCCGTTAGCGGCATATAGGAATCTAATCCAGCCAACATCGAAGGCTAGCCTTGACATCGAGAGTTTATTATGGTCTGGATAAGTTAATTAATGTCTAATTGATAATTTAGATAACATTTCAGGCCTAAAGAAAAACTTGTAATAAGCAGATTTTGCTCTTGCATAATGCATGTTTAATCAAACTTCGTACATCTGTTATTAATCTTGGCTAAACCTTGAAGTGAAAAGGGGTTTAATGTCCTATTGTTCTGCTCCAACTGGGCTAAAGAAGATGGACATACACCATACAGTGTGCTAAAGTGCTATGATGGAAATTCTGCCCAAACAACTGCATCTTTTACATGCATGCCAATGTGTACATGGAAATGGGGTTTAACATCCTACTGTTCTGCTCTGACTGGGCTAATGAAGATGGGTGTCCCATCCAAACGACATTCAGTTGTTCCTTGCCAGGCCCGCTGTCCTACAACAATGAAAATACTTTCTTGGTTAACACAGGGACCTCCAGGTTAGCGAGCCAACATCTTATTCATTGAGGCACTGCGGCTCCACAACAAAACAGATCTTATAATCTACAACGCAGACATTAGACCACTCAAGATTCAAGACTCAAATCACAATTACCCCCGCCCCCATTCCCCAACTCACATAATTCATACAGAAAATAAGGATTTTCACCAACGTGATCCCAATTGAGTATTCACAGGTGTCTACTGATAATTTCATAGCTGTATATTTCTTTATTTAATTTGAGTCATTCGATGTTTCATCACTAGTCTCTGTCTATGGTTGTATGCCGTCAGACTTACCATAGTTTTATTTTGCAAAATTCAAATATTCTTCATATATATTTAGCCATGTGTGCCGCTATTTTTTCATGTGTTTCAAGGTGTGCCATTAGCAAACAAAGGTTGAGAACCACTGCTTTAGAATCTAAACCTTACACTTAAAGTCACTCGATCAACCCCCACCCCACAAAATTCATCGAATAAATATGGATTCTTATCTATCTGAACATACAAAGGCACTGTAAACTAACTAGCCCTTAACTAACAATACAAACCTTTTAACCTAAAGTGCTGGACCACTCTATCCCCCCCCCCCTTCCCCAACCCTCATATAGCAATGATTCTTACCTCTCTGGACATACGAAGGCACTGTAAACTGACTTGCACTTAAACTGTTAAAAACACTATCTTTAGTAAGTAACATCAACTGTGGAATTTTCTCATCAGCAAGACAATCACGGATAACCTGAATTTAAATTCAATTCAGAAATAGAACAATCTGGTTAAAACACAGATCCTATTTCGTTTTGTTTTTATAGTTCAAAATTTCGTTTTACTTGTCTTTACTACACTTGGATCTGGAAGAGTTGTTATTTAACTCGTGATCTGAATGGTGTCAGGGATAAGCCAATGAAACGGTCTGTTACGGCGAGCTTTAGGCGTGTTTTGCACGGAACTGTGGGTAATCCACTAGTAACATCAAAGCTGATTGGTTAATCAAATGTCTGGCATCATAGGGTCATAAGTTGGTCTTTTGACCCCTGACGTGACCTATCGCTATAACTTGTCAGATCTTCATGTAGTGTAGGCCATCGAAAGTATAAAAATCGAAACGAAATATAGATCTGTATTTTAAAGATACATTATGTAAGATTTAGATAAAGACTTGGCCATTTTTGCTATAATAGGTCGAAAGTAGATGATGTAAAATGAATAATTTGAAAATTTCATTCAAATTACTCTATTGCAAGCGAAGATATTAGCCTTTGAAGGTTTGACAGACGTGTGCAATAATTTCAACCACCGTACTGGTTGATCGAAACTAAGTCTCGGTCCTCCATATTTGATTAAATCAAAGTATCGCTGAACCATTCTAATCTATTTAATATCGGAGAAATCTGATGCCATCGAGAGTTGATTAAGGCCTGGATCAGTTAATTAATGTCTAATTAATACTTTAGATAAGATTTCAGGCCTAAAGAAAGACCTGCAATAGGCAGATTTAGCTCGTGCATAATGTATATGTTTAATCAGATTGGAAATAGAAAAGAATAAAGGACCTTATGATGCAGCGCGCACGCCCTAACCATTTGGACATCCAACCAACCAATCACAAAGGGATTTAAATAAATTGACTCCAATTTTTCCTTCAACCAAAATGACGAAGCACACTTTGTCCTGCAGCGACCGCCCCAATTAGAACAAAGTTTTAAAATCCTGAAGGATCTCCTCACGTGATGCCAGGACTAGACAGAGAGATGAGAAAAATGAGGTTTAAAGTCCACTTGACACAAACTAGGTCATTTCGGGACTAACATATGGTTTAGTTTTATTTCAATAATTCGCGTGCGAGTAGGAGTCTTTAGATGTACTGTTCTGCACCACCTGCGTTAAAGAAGACAGGAATACGTCATGCAGTGTGCTATAAGGGAACCTGTTTGAATCTCGTCTTTCTCAATAATAAATTAGAAATTATAATTCATCTTACCCTGTACTGACTTATGGGACAATCTTGTAAGAGAAACTGATCACATCCACAGACTTTCAGAACATACGCCTGGCTGTACTCTTCAATACACATCTGTGTATGTTCTTTAGTCATGCTCATCAAACGACTTCTGCGACGGATGGTTTCAGCGATAACATCAGTGGGTGTCTTTAGATGGCTAAGTTTTACACTATATTTTGAGCGATTATTGTCTTCGGAAACCACCCAAACACAAATAATAACAGAATCTGAAACAAAAATAGGAGCAAATGAAATTGGACTTATCGTCCTATTTTTCTTCAGTGATTAGGCTAAAGAAGACAGGCATATGTCAGCGTGTTATAAGGGAAATGACACAACTAGGTCATTTTGGGACTAACATATATTTCTATTTTATTTCAATAATTTGCATGCGTGTAGGGGTCTTTAGCAGTGGGAGGGCACCAGAAGACTCGTAGAAAGCCCACGAGGTTGGACAAATGACCTTACTCCTTGTCACATACACCCGGAGAATCGAAAACACACCAATTGACTCAATGATAGACCTTATGATGCAACGCCCACGCGCTAACCATTTGGCCAGTCCCCCCCCCGCACCCCGAAGAATTACGGCCTACTCTTATACAGAATTCAAACTACCTAGAGATCTTTTGATTTTTTACATGCACATAGAGTAGATGTGTACACAGGATCATGTTTTTTGTCCCATGCTAACAACTAATGCAATTTTCATTATTTCATTATCTACTGAGTGCACACGTTAGAGGTGCCATGGTTTAACAATAAGCAAACAGAGGTTGAATCTAAAATAACATACCATCGCCAAATTTTTTCACTTTTTGTTGTAAGTGAGGTGGTAAGGCTTGTGATGACTCTATGTCTGGAGGGTAGGCATACAACGCTTGACTGAAGGCTCCATCCTGCTCTCGAACGCTAATAGCTTCTTTACAAACGTTTAAAACATTACGTCTAAAAGTCATCACTTCAAGATCTTTGGTCTCGTTAAATTCATTCACAGGAATTCCAATAAGCATACCTGGATATCAAATTATACCACCAACAATAAATATATTAAACATATAACTATAAATGATAATGGGCATATCTATTCATATGAAATGATATGGATATGTCCATTTAAATCTAATATTTTTATTTAACAAAATGAATGTTTTCGTTTATGATATAGATTTAAGTTAAGTTAAAAGGAGGAAAGTGTGGGTGTTTGTGTGTGTGTGTGTGGGGGGGGGGGGGGATATAAATTTTATAATAATAATAATCTTATCAATCTAAAACTAACCAATTTCATAATTCAGCATTTTTTCTTCACGGTTACCAATTGGTTCCATAACTTTTAAAATGGGCTGGAAAAGTCTAAGATCACATAGTCGACGCGTTTCATCGTAAAATTCCTCTCGTTCTGCATCCTGGGTTATGGCTACGAATATATACGAATCTGGATCTAATAGCTTGGAATATAACGGGTATTTCTTAGCCTCTGACCACAGCTCTCCTTTAATTCTTTCTAACGTAACGTCACGGTTACATTGTATAGGTACGATAATACCTGTTGGCAATAGACAATCAACCAATACCTGAGAGGGCATCAAATGATGCCCCCATAATTCTCCTGAACTTGGCGGCATTCTCTTGTAGTGTTAAATTGTCATCCTGTTTTAACTTAAAATCTGAAAAAGAAAAAATCAACATCAATAATTTTAAATGAAACATGTAGCTGAGTACAAAACCTACTGGAGCCACGATGGAGAGAGAGAGAGAGAAATGTGGTTTAACGTCCACTCGACACAAACCAGGTCATTTCCGGACTAACATATGGTTCAATTTTATTTCCATAATTCGCTTGCGCGTAGGGGTCTTTAGCAGTGGGAGGAAACCGGAGGACCAGGAGAAAACCCACGAAGTTGAACAGGCGACGGAACCACGTTGGCTTGCTACTGGATGTCCTGTGTTTGATTTCAGTGTTGGCATAGAAAATTCATCAGGATTTTCCATGTGGTCCCGCTTTGTCAGATGTGCAGATGGGGGATCTGGCAAGGGACAACATATATAGTAATTCGGCGGTTGAGATAAAAAAAAAAACAAGGTCCCCTGTAGCTTACAAATTGGCGTGCACGTAGAAGAACCCTTGACAGTTGGAATTCAAAATAATCGGATACACAAGGCAAAACTTGCAATGCACATATTCTCACACTTTTTTGTTCTTTTTTTAATCATACAATTTAGATATATTTTTAAACCAATTTGGAAAAACGAAATTATTTAACATTTTTTGAGAAATTGAATTATGACGGTTTTATAATTTACAACAATCACATCAGCTTCGCTCTACTCACGTGTGTTATACATGTAATATAGAGCGAAGCTCTAAAGCACAGCGCCAAGCGCGGTGCTTGAGCAAAGCTCTTTTCCGGTAACACAGAAGCGTAATTGAAAATGTCACCCATAGACTATTGATTAAAAAATATTTCAGACCGGAACCGGATACACTTGGCAAAACAGTCAATGCGCATGTCAACTTACCAAATCTCGACCAAACGAGATCACGTAACTAACAAAAATAATTCTACACATCAAATCTCGCCCAAGCGAGATTACGCGCCTCATAGAACTATTTATATGACGCGTCTAATCACTGACGTCACATATTTTTTACATCAGTGAAAATAATTCTCAAACTTTTTTGTTCTTTTTTTAAAAACAAAATTAATGTTAAAATTTAGATCCAAATAAAAATCAATTTTGAAAAACTAAATTATTTAACATTTTTTGTATCACTTAAGAAAATTAATTATGAAGGTTTTGTATTTGACAATAATCAGCTTCGCTCTACTCAGGCAATGCCTGTTACATACTATTTCTTGTTTATTTTTACACTAAATTTACCACACTGATCCGCAGTGAATATTTGCTTGGCCGCGACAATCACTGATAAGGATGACATTGATGCGGCTTAATGAGCTAGAAATATTAACTTTTTTCCTGCGACAAATTAAATTCTAAAACATTTTTTGTATATATTGGAAAAATAAATAAAGCCGTTTGACGTATTTGTAGGTAAAAATTATTTCCGATTTAGTGTAAATGGGTATTAAATTGACTAAAATGCAGCATTCTCTCCGAAGCAGTTATGTCTTATGTAAACAATGCACGCGCCATTCAGCCAATGATTCACACCGCGTGCTGTGACAGCACGTGTTAAGGCAGTCATCTATGACAGAGATATTATATAGAGCGAAGCTCTACAGCATCGCGCAAAGCTTGAGAAAATCAATTTGGAAAAACTAAATTATTTAACATTTTTTGTATCACTTGAGAAAATTAATTATGAAGGTTTTATATTTGTCAATAATCAGCTTCGCTCTACTCAGGCAATGCCTGTTACATATTACGAGACTCGTAATTCTCTGTGAAACAGATTGTAAATTTACAGGGAGCGCCAGTAAAATTAAAATATGTGGGATGGGAACTAAAAATAACAGAAAAGCGACAAAACTTTCTAATTGAGGTCTGTTTTATAAAATAAGACTGTTATTATTAAACTGATTACCGTAATCGGTATAATGACTTGTAAAATAAAAGGAACTGAATGTTATACCTAGTAAGTTTTGGAAGTTCCGCCTTCTCTAAAATTTATTTTCATTATTCAGCCATGACACCTGCAGCACTAAATAATCAGACAGCAAACTATTGGTCACGTTAGAAAAAATACCTAATAAAATAACCGTGAAATTATTACCAGTATTGAATTAAAAGAAGAATAATAATAATATTAAGTAAATAAATTCTATTAATTATTGTTCAAAAATATAAAATTGTAATTTTGTTAATATACGTCATTGAAATTCTGCCTAAATCTAAAATTTAAGGCCAGCTCAATTTTTATCAAGGTCCATGAGATGTAAATAAGGTTAGGGCACGTGATTGTTGTCGAGATTGTAGGCTAAGGTTAGGATAAGCCTTGGGGCTAGGTCCAGGGTTAGGGTTAGGGGTCGGATTAGCGCTAGCCCTGTTTACACCTCGTGACCTATGACGAAATATTAAGCTGGCCTTATCATTTAGCACTAACCGCTGGATTCTTGTAAAGAAAAGCCTTTATTATCCAGCCGAAATAACAGTGAAGTGATGAACGGGAGATCTGATGTCTGGATGAACGTGAACGTCATGATTTCCTGTTATCGCGGGACTAATGCCGCAAACATGGATGATGTTTTTGTAGAAAGTTCATGAATTTTAAGAAATAATTATGATGTTATTTGGTCTTAAATGACTCCACTATGTCTGTAACAACACAAGGTAGCCAATTGATCAGTTAATTTGGGTTTTACATCGGAAGGCTGTTCCGCTGATATCGATAATCGCATGAACAGCGATGAATATGGTTATTGTCACGCTCTCAAGCCAGGGCATGCGTTTTTGTAAATGGGTCGGGGTTGAAAATTCGGGAGGACGATTTACCCAATAGACCGACTGCAAAATAACGCCCAATTAAAGATACATTTTGTAAGATCTAGATAAAGAGCTGACCTTTCTTACTATAATAGTTCCGAAATAGATATAATGCAAAATGAATTTATTCAATTGAAAATTTCAATCAAATAGCTCCATATTGGCTTTTGATTTGAAGGTATGACAAGATGTTGTTAGGGCTGTCGAAGAAATATCGATATAGCCGATAATCGTCGTCGACTACGGAAAAATATCGATATCGATATTCAGTTCTTGATATCGATACTCGTATATAAAATATAACAGAGCTTCAATAAAATGAAATTAACGGAATGTTTTGTGTCAAATAATTGCTGTCATATCATTCAAAATTTTTAGATTAAATCATTGTATGGCTAGCTGCTCTAATCTACTTAATATCGGAAATATCCGGTAACACCGAGAGTTGATTATGGTCTTGTCATGTTAATAAAAGTCTAATTAATAGTTTACATAACATTTTAGGCCTCAAGAAATACCTACAATAGACAGATTTAGCTCTTGAATAATGCTACAATATACCACAAAGCTTTACCTCATGTAAATCAAAAACTAAATTATTTCTTTAATTATTTAAGCACTGTGTAGGTCAAGTAAACCATAATTATCAATGACTGAATTAATTTGATTCCAGAAAATAAACAGAGGACTGAAGTGTCTATATAGTATCATTATCTGAAATATTTATAATATGTGACGAAACCAGACGCTTGTCGCACAAATTCAGATTGTACTACAGATACAAAAAAAGCATAAACTGTATGCCTTTTTGTTGATGATATGACAAATTTAAAAAGAATTGCATTCATTGAAAGATTATAGACTGGACTATTCAAATATGCTGCCATCTCTATTTTTATAAAAATGACCAAGAACCTGGTTTTGTGAGAACAGCTTACAGCAGATGTAAAACCCATGAATGATACTCTATTCTATCAACCCGTAGACTTGACATGTACCAATTCATACACACCCTAGCCCTTGTGAGCTTGTTTCAATGTTTTGCAGTTTCTCTTTATAAGATTTATCAATATGAACTTATATTTGAATATATTTTCAGGAACACCAGCAGTTCCACCAACTGCCCAGCAGACAGCAGCAGTTACAGGAACAAATACAACGATTCCAACATCTGGATCTACCGATTATAGTGCGTATACAAGTGGATATGGATTTAATTATGGCACTGGTCAGTATCCATATACCGGCAATGGACAATATGATGCCGCTGCCTATGCTCAGTATTGTAATGCTTACAATGCTTATTATGGGTACAATCAATATAATTATCAATATGACGCAACAACAGGGCAATATAGTTATAACTACTATGGAACACCACCGACATCAGGAACTATTGCCACTGCTGGTCAGACAGCAATACCAGCAGCACCAGCAGCACCAGCAGCACCAGCAACTGGTCAACAAGCATCAACAGTTACCAGTCAACCACCACTCCCACCTCCACCAGCACTGCCTGCTATAACAGCCTATCAAACTTCTCAGAATAATACAGGACAAAGTGCTGTATCAACGTTCCAGCCCCCACCTCCACCACCTGATAATCCTTCTGCTACAGCAACTGCAAATGTAGTGGCACCACCACCACTACCAGCACCACCATTACCAGTACCCCCTGTTCCTCCATCAGCTACTCCGCAAAATTTTAATTATAGTAATTACTCTCAAAGTAATCCAATGTTTTACCCACAGCAACCTACCATGGCTGGAGCCCAGTCCTTTATGACTCAACCAGTAACTCAGTCCAATGTACAGAGTTACACTACACAACAAGGGGCTTATGGCAATTATTATAATCAACAATATCAGAACTACCAGACTGGGTCTACTGTAATGACACCAACGACTGGCCAAGTTGTTCAGCCAAATCTGACCACCCCAACAACCCCAGTTGTTGCTAGTACTACAGGACAGCAGAACAATGCATATCAGCAATATCAGTATGGTGCTCAGCATCCACCACCAGTAATGCCACCAAATGTTCATAACCAGAACAATAATCAGAATTATCAGTACAATCAACAACAACAAACAAACACCCAATACCAGAATAATCAACAGAAAAACTGGCAGAATAAGAATACATATTATGATGCTAACAGTGCAGCATTCTCCACCCCCACCCCAGCCCCAGGTTATTTTCCAAATGCAGGTGGAATGGGAAATACCAAAAGGAGACGAAAGAAGAAAAGGGGATTTAGTTCAGAAGAAAAGGTTTCTACTTCTACCCATTATACAGATCAATGGAGTCGACCCACAGGCCAAAATAAAGTGCTGGAAATGAATTCGTTGACCGGTGCTGACCCAGAACAGTCTGCTGAAAATCCTGAAAATAAAGAAAAGTTAATTTTGAGGAAAGATCTTGGACCAGCTGATTTAAATAAACCTCGAGGAACATTTGCTTGTTTGTTTGGTGCAGTTGATTTCGAACAGGATGAATACGATCAATCTACAGAATCGGATTCAGACCATGAAGATACAAAGAAGGCCACTACTTCTTTGAAGTCAGACACAGGAAAGGACAAACCAAAAGTTCCGGAAGATAAGACTCAGTCCACGATTGATAAAACCAAAAAATCTGAAAATCCAAATAGCACGGTACCGCAAACTTCGAAACAACAACCAGCTGGGGAACCAGACAACAAAAAGGGTCCTCTCCCATCGCTATTAGACATGGATATAGGAAAACCTCCAAATGCAAATATCCAGAAGACCTCACGAAAAGAACCTTCAAATAGATTTGGAAACGTTCTACCGAACAAGGGACTGGATCCTAATAGAGATGATGGCCTAGAATTTGATCCTGCATTATTTGGTTTACCTGCATCCTTTTGCGGAAGAATTCCAACTATTTCCGAGTCTGATAGCATAGAAGAAGAAGCAACTCGAAAATTTAGCAATAGAACGGAACGGCTAAATCCACATGATCGTTTCCAAAAGCACAATGATAAACCTGATAAGAAGCAGTCTTCGTTTGATGATCTTGATAAACCATTTTTAGTTGGCAGAAAAAGTGACAAATTTGTAAGTAAATTTGACAGAGGTCTTTCAGATCAGCAACAAAAAGAAACAGATTTTGGAAGACCTCAGCGTTTTGTCCGGAACAAACAGAGTAACGCATTTCATGACGTAGGAAAAGAAATTGAAACCGATATGAAAATGTCAACAATGGATTGGCAAGACGATAGAAATGATTTTGAAATGCCAGGCTATGATATGGATGGAAACAGTATGTTGAACGATGAACCTTTTGGTAACAGAAATGCAAGAGACCAGCGGATGGATTGGCATAATGAGCCTTTTGGTGTCAGAAATACCAGGGATCAACAGATGTCAAGCATGGAGTGGCAAGGTGATAGTGAGAATCCAGAAGGTTTTGGTAAAAAGAGAATGCTTAATAATGATACCCAATTTACGAGCAGTGAAAGGAGACGACCTTATATAAATGAAAACCTTGCAAATGAAGAAACATCAAAACCGCTGATTGGGTGGGAGGAAAATGATTTTGAGTTACCAACATCATTTGGAGGAAAAGCCCAACGTTATGACCGGAATAGACCGCAAAATGAAGGAAGTGGCGACTTTAATCGGAATGCACGAGATCAGCATTTCCCCGAAACTGATTTTCCAGACGATAGTAATTTTGAACATCCGTCTTTATTTAAAGGAAATCCTCAACGTTTTGGAAGAGATAGGACACCATACAAAGGCAATACACTCTTTGATAATCCAATGGATCAGGCTTTTCCAGAATCTGTTCCATCAGCCAAAGAAAATGATTTTGAACTGCCAACCTCATTTGGTGGGAAAGCTCAGCGCTACGATAAGGACAAAGCAAGCAGACAGTTTGATGAAAGACCACCTTATGATAGACCATATGGTGAAATGGATTGGCCAGAGGATAAAAATGATTTTGAATTGCCAACCTCATTTGGTGGGAAAGCTCAGCGCTATGATAGGGACAAAGCAAGCAGACAGTTTGATGAAAGACCACCTTATGATAGACCATACAGTGAAATGGATTGGCCAGAGGATAAAAATGACTTTGATTTGCCAACGTCTTTCGGTGGGAAAGCTCAACTTTATGAGAGGAACCAACAAAACAGACTGAAAGGTGAAATACGGCCATTACTCG